CACAAATCTTAGCTTCTTTTGAATGGCAGGAGCAGAAAAAATGGGTTTAAAGAATAAAAGAGTGCTACATATATGAAATGGAAAAGAGAGTTTTCAGCCAACTCTTTTCTGAGATTGGTAGAATTAACCCAAACCAAACATGACATTGTCACACCATTTTTAAAAGAACAGTAGCTTAAATTCAGAAGACAGTATTCCTAACATCACTTCCACCTGTTTGAGAAAAGGCAAATGGTAAACACTGATACCCCCCAAATTCACATTATAAAGCAGCATTCTGCTTTAGGGGACCTTGTGATTTTCAGTCAGTTTTTATGTGGTAAGAAATGTATTTATAGCAGTCATTAAAGTGACTATAGATCATTATGAACAGTTAAACTCTTCCACTTTGGGACAAATTTCAGGTCAACATTTGGAACAAACGGGGCTTATAAGCATCCGATAGGCATTTTCAGCTAACTGTACTGTCAGAGGTGGTGCTTGAAAAGGCTGGAGGATATTTTGTGTGCGCTCTGGAGTGAAATGGAAAATTTAAGAGAAGCTTTCATGGTGAAAACAGTAGGAATGAGATGCAAACAAACAGCAAGAAAATGCACCCAGCATAAACTACACCCTCTCCAGCTAGAGCACCCTAAAGCTTACTTGTATGGGCTGTAGAAGACGTAGGTTTAGAAGAGAAAAGTAACTTCCTACTCACCCAGAGGCTCCATCCAACTCCTTAGAGAGGGTTGCCACACTGAAAGCCAACCACCTCCTTACCTGCAGCGGGTTATTTAATTTTCCCGGTGCGTGCCCTCACCTGCAGCTGGCTACTTATTTAATATATATGGCACGCCTCCTCCCTCCTCCTCCTCACTCAAATCTCTGGCTAAAATTATCCTTGCCTGAAAAAGCAAATGCAGGGATAAGCTGCTGTGTTTCTCTAGCAGCTATCAACTACAATAATAGAATGCCACAAACTTCCAAATTTTGGAACTGGGTTTATATTTCCAAAAAATCAAAACTTCACCATATATACGGGGGCTCCAAGCTGCATCCAGAAGTTCGTTTGTATGTCAGTTGCATGGAACCTGAAACAGAGATTTCCTCTCCAGAAGTAAAAGCCACATCTGGTAGGTGGGTTGCTTGGCCAGACTACAAATCATTTAAATCCGTCAAATGGCTGAATTGTAGCACTAGCTGTACTAGATCGAGTTCAGTGCTCTGGCATGCAAGTCAGAGTGAGGAGAAAACATCTCTAAAAAACAATTCTGAAATAAGCAGTTCTCTCTGGTTATTTCACTACTTCCGGCACCCAGCTCCCATGTATACGGCCCCTAAAAAGCAATACACTAATAACTCCACATTTCCTTGGGGTCAGTTTTCTCCAAGGCACTGTATCCACCAAACTTACAGACCTTCCCTTGCCTTAAATCACAAAGAGCCAGTAATCTTCACTAGGTGTCAGTTTGAGTCCCTGGACTTCCTTTTAATTCACACAAATGTGTAAATGGCTAATGGGGCTTTAACCTTCCCAGAAGAATTTGCATTTTGAGTACAGGCTCTTAGCGCCCGCCGGGACTGAGAACTGAGGATTTGTCTGGGGGAGGGGTGGAAGCCAGCACAGCGGCCACCCAGCAGGGCTCAGAGGTGGTTTCCAGGGCCTCTCCCCATCTCGCTTCGGAACCCATTCGCTAAAAGCTCCACGAGGCGGCAGGAGAGCGGGGCAAGGGCAGACCGGTGTGCGCCCGGGGCAGTGGCTCATTCCTCGGGGCTGCCTGTCCCATTAAGATCCTACAGCTGCGGAGGGAGAGCTCGGAGGGGGCGCAGCTGGAAAACAGGCCGGCCCTCAGCCCCAAATTCGGTGGGTCCAGAGTGAGGGTAGGAACCTGCATTTTAAACACTCCATGTGATTCTGACTTCAGATCGACAGAGACATGGAGGGGGCAAGTAATTTTACTGTTTCTGAAATTTAGGTAAATTTACCCCACCTACATAATGTCCTATAGGATACTTGATATATTAAATTCCACCTAAAGCTCTAAGGAAAAACAAAACAAACAAGCAAAATGGCCTTAACTGATCATCAAGGTCTTTTGAATTGTACCTAGTCATTGTACTTTTAGTTTCCAAACCTACATTCCTTTCAACAGTTCTTAAAATTTAATGCCAGAAGCTTTAGATCTAAGAAAGAAAACATATGTGGAGACAGACTGAAGGTTTCAAATCAAGCGGTCAAATGTATGTTATCAACTTATTTTTGACATTTGAAGCTCACTTAAAGCCCAAATTTCTTACTCTTCAAATCTCAAGTTGGCAACGAGATATGAAAATGTTTAAGAGTAGTTAATAGAAGTATTCCTCACTCAGGAAATCCTTAGATTTGGTTACCCAAGATAAGACCGGCCTTGCAATTTTCTTGTGCATATTTTATGATATGCCTAGAGAAAAAATCCCAATCCCTGCACACAACATCAAGACTTAACAAAAAGATCAACTTAATATTGCAGTGTGTTCAGTTTCCTGAACTAATTGCTTAAAATGTCAACCTTTATCTGATATTAATACCTTTGCACTCAAATATTTACAATTACTTTTTTAGTGCATACAACTCTGAATTGGGGGCCCTGAGAATTGGGGCCCTCTTTTCCAAACCCATATTCAAGGCAGAGCAAAGCAGCTTGGTAGGGTCTCCTTTTTACTAACCTTTAAGAAAAAGCATCCATCAGGCAAAAGCTCAACCTGATGCTAATGGCCAAAGGCAGTGTTCTAGGGAGTCTACCTTGGGCTTAAAAACCATACTTTTTTATTCTTGTGACTGCTTTCTGTACTTCTCAAACCCAAACCTTTTTTTTTAAGATTTTATTTATTTGACAGAGACAGAGATAGCGAGAGCAGGAACACAAGCAGGGGGAGTGGGAGAGGAAGAAGCAGGCTTCCTGCCAGGCAGGGAGCCCGATGTGGGGCTCGATCCCAGGACCCTGGGATCATGACCTGAGCTGAAGGCAGACGCTTAACGACTGAGCCACCCAGGCACCCAAACCCAAACCTTTCAATTGGTGCACACAAGCATAGTTAAAATACTAAGTCTTCTCTTTTTTTTAGGAATGCAAAATGGTGCGGCTGCTATGCAGTGTTTTTTTTAAGTTTTATTTTGTTATGTTAGTCACCCTACAGTAGATCATTAATCTTTGATGTAGTGCTCCATGATTCATTGTTTGCAATAACACCCAGTGCTCATTACAACACGTGCCCTCCTTAATACCCATCACCCTGTTACCCCATACCCCCACCCCCTCCCTTCTGTAACCCTGTTTGTTTCTCAGAGTCCATAGTCTCTCATGGTTCATCTCTCCCTCCTATTTCCCCCCCTTCATTTTTCCCTTCCTACTTTTTTTTAAACATATATTATTTGTTTCAGAGGTACAGGTCTATGATTCATCAGTCTTACACAATCCACAGCACTCACCATAGCACATACTCTCCCCAGTGTCCATCACCCAGCCACCCCATCGCTCCCACCCCCCTCCACTCCAGCAACCCTCAGTTTGTTTCCTGAGATAGTCTCTTACGATTTGTCTCCCTCTCTGGTTTCATTTTGTTTCATTTTTTCCCTCCCTTCCCATATGATCCTCTGCCTTGTTTCTCAAATTCCTCCTATCAGTGAGATCATATGATACTAAGTCTTCTCTTTTAAAAAGGGAAAGTTATTTGCAGAGTCCTTTCCAGTCTTTTTCCTCTTCTAGGTGGGGAGGAACTGAGGATATAGAGGAGGCAGGACAGGAAATATTCTGCCAAAGAGTAATCATTTCGATTCCCCCTGCCCAGAACGCATCTTACAGCTGCACACAACACAAAATGAGATACTCAGAACAGGTACAAAGCATTATTTGTTTTTGTCACTGCCATAGTGCAGATGATTTAAACAAAAGTAACTATAATGTAATAGCTTCTTTCTCCCTAACTTCAGATGTTCAACAATGCAGAGCAAGATGCTTTAGGAGGCTTTTAAAATGTTAAGTTTAATGCGAAGAATTGGTGTGAATTTATGCAACAGCTGTCTTATTGACAACCCCCATGCAGTTTTCTAGTCTATAGCTAAGGTTCCTTGCAACAGAGTGGTTAAAGTCCGTAATTTGGCCTTTACGAAGTAGTCAAGCTTTTAATAGGTCAAGGAATTTGAGCTGGCAGAAAAAAGGGACCCTACAAATACCCAGGTACTGTGGATACTGGTCAATTAGTCCAAGATTAGATTACATCTTAAAACCTGAGCTAAAATCAATCCTTGAGCTTCTGGTTCACTTTTGTTGGGTACCCTCCTGGATGACTCTAAAATTAGCACGGTTCCACACTCAACTGTACAGTGGTCAAAGTTTATGGGTGCAGAAAACCCATGGAGACCACTAAAACATCGTCCCATCAACAAGGAGCAGTGCCCAGGATCTTCCTCCTCTGTAACACATGGAGACAGTTGTCACATTATTCTGGCAACTAAGAAGAGGTTGGAGAAGACACCAGAGGCAAACCTCAGGATGTCCTAGGGGAATGTGGCCATGAAGGGAGCAATGAGATTCAAGCGTACAAGTTCATGAAGAAGGTACACAAGAATCCTATCGTCTACTCCTCAGCCCCTATCCTCAAAGGCAAGTACGAAAGCAAGGAAAGGTCAGTGTAATACAGAGGTACCTTACATATAGGTCTGTCTAGCATTCCTAATCCTGCAAAAGCCACCTTAAGTCTTCCAGGAAACAAAACCATCCGCTTGAGGGGAAAAAACCCTCAAATACAGCTGTAGCTGTAATTTACTCTGGTTTCTAGAAAGTTTTTGTTTTCCTTACGTATTTAAAATCATACCAAAAAAGAGGTTTTTTGGTCAAATATTAGAACAACACTGAACTGAACCTCACCTAACAACTAGTGTGAAGTTGTCAATCCATCTTGCATTAGCAAAAATGAAAATATGAACAAAAATAAGAAAATGAAACGAGAGAAAAATAGGTAAAACCAAGACAAAATTCAAATTTACTTTCAAAAATCTGATTTTATTTTCTGAATCAAAAAGAAGTGTATTCACGTTAAATGTAGAATGTTTAACTTTCCATTGATCTCTCAAAACACTTTCCAGATATTGTTAACAGTGCTTAGAACTGTGTAAAAAGTCAACATCCAATACCATGTTTTAAAGAAAAAAAGTTTAAATGTAGGACTTATTTCTAAGAAACCCTTCTTAAATGTCAAGGCATTGGCAATTCTAATTTAAAAAGACTTAATCATTATTGGAAATTTAAGTGACAATGGTTTTCAAGAGCTCAAAATCAGATCTCTTTTAAAACAGAAAAAATTTTAATTTCTGAGGGACTCCTACCTGGCAACTTCAATTACACATTTTATTTCCACTACCCCCCAAATTACTATATGCATTATTTTACCTTGGAATAGGAAAATTAGAAAATGGAATTTTAAAATTACACTATATATTTATATATATATATATAAATACACCATTTTAACTGTGATGTTTGCTAGCAGAAGGATGAAAGGAAAACCAAATTCTATATTCAAGGGACAAATAATAAATGCTCTTTCATTGTTCTAAGAGTCCATTCTATTCCTTGTTGTTTTCTACCCCCATAGATTAAAATCATGACCAAAGGCCAAGGTTAATCCATATACTGGAAATGAACAGCTGGTAAGAACTGGTCCTACATTTGTGTCCTTTAACTAGTCCAGGACTCAAAGGCTAGGGGGATTTATAAGAACATGATTTAGGAATACTTTAGAATTCCAAAATGACTGACACCCATGTCCCTCAAACCTAGTACATGTTATTCACAGGCTATTCATGTGTACTGAAGCATGTCCAGCATGCAGGCAAACTTCTTTCACTTGTTTCAAATTGAGGTAAAACAGACAAAAAATACTTAATATTAACAGAAGCTGCATAATTAAAACTAACCTCCTTTTGCTGCTCATTTCATATAAATTGATTTTTAAGTTTTCTCACAAAAAAGAGACTCTTTCTAAAGCCAATAATTTCTCCAATTTCAGTCACCTAAAAATTAAGCTTCTTTGTTCAAAGCCATTATTAGTAAAGAATATTTTGAAATGAAGGAAAACATTTTTTTTCCTCAGTATCTGCATTTTGTACTTAGCGTGATACAATTTATTACTTTATTTTTCAAATTTAGAAAGAATTCAAGTCTGAGTACTATTTGATATTTTTTCAGACACAAAGCAATACCGGCGGGAATCATAAATACGATTTTCTGACAGATGGGAAAATCTGCTAACATTTACAAAATATCAACAACTCTTCTTTCAAGCATAAGATGACTGAGACTTATTAGTTATGATTACTTTTTCAGTAAAAATACAAATTTAAATCTTGATTTTTTTTTTTTTTGGCCAACATTTTAAGTAGTCAAATTTTACTCCAGTTCCAGGTCTCAAATTAAAATAATAAAAAAGAAACTAATGAAAATTACCCAACTGGCAACAAGTCCCGTATTTCAATGTTATTTTTAATCCAACAATTATAACCTACTGCCAGTAATTATTCATATGTATCTACCTATTCTTATTAAAGAAGCGCTGGTCAGTTATATAAAAGAATAACTGCAAGAATGGTAGTTGGCACTGGATTACCTTAATGCTTCTGGTATAAAAACAAGCACTCTTAAGCACTTTTTTCATCTGTAATTTGAATTTCCAAAAGCATTTTTAAGTTGTTAATTTTCCATTGATTCTAGGGAGTTTACTCCCAGCTAACATGGTTGATTTAAAAACAAAACAAAACAAATAAATCCCTAAGCCACATGGTAATGGAATATTACACTTGCTTTTTATATCACGGAAACAGTTCCAGGCAGACCAAAAGTAGAAGAAAACCTGCCAAATCAAAGTACTGTAAATAAATTTCATCTTACATACCTCCGAGCAGAAAAGCTCAAAAATCAAAAAGTTAAAATCAAAAGGCCACTCCCCACCCCCACACAAAAACCCACCCAAAACACTTTAATTCTGAGCCTAACGTTTCCCTAAATGTTAATTCCAGAAGCTTTAAGGTACTTCAACTGTGCAGTAACTGTTGAAAGCACCACACCACAGAGGAAATGCTGTAAAGGGGTCAGCAGCTGCCCACCCGTCCCTCACCACCCCCACCCCAGTAATACGTAAAAGCTCCTGTAAAGGTTTTCTTATGCTAATAAAGGCGTACCACCTAGTGTGCTAAAAACTACAACAGGCAGCATTAGAGCAGTAAAGTGAAAAGAGGAAGCCAAGGGGAGTGATCTAAATGCCTACTTAGAAGAAACAAAGCAGCAGACAGGACCCTTTGCCCTCTCTCTCATCATGTTTGTAGGGAAGTGGTTGAATTAAACAGATTTACCCACATTAACAAAAATTTAACAAAGCTTCCCCAAGACACCAGCAGAAAACCTGACCTTTCCAGTCAAAGGGCACAGAGAGGACTCTTCCATGTCCTGGAGTTGAATGAGTTCAAAGATTGGCAATAAAGGAAAAAAGAAAGCATTAGGGGTGTGATGCGAACAAGCTCTGGAGTTAGTTTATCGAACAGTCACACCAAGTTTCTCCAGCACACGAACACCCTTTTCTTGGTATTCTTGTCGAGTCATCCAGAAGTTGTCTTTGTCTTTCATGATATCTGCTAGAACTGCACCACCCAGGAACACCATATGCTTTCTGCGTGGTGGGTCTTCGATGCGGATCTTAAATTTCTAAAGGAGAAAGACGAGATTGTAAAATGTCACAAGTGCATCATCATGCTTTCTGCTTTATGGAAATGACTTTTTCATGTATTCTCCTGTTGAATTCTCACAAGTCCTGTGAAGTAAGTAGGATGGCATGATTTGTTATCTGAAGTAGAGACATTTTTGGTAATTTGCCCAAAGCTCACAGTGAGATCACACATCCATCCCAGTGTGCTTAGAACAGTCCTGATTTACACCTGTTGCCCCATCACTCTCAAAATTGTCCTGATTTGAACAATAAATTCCACGATAAACCTACTGAGAGCCCAAGTACCACAGTCCTGATTGTGGCAGGTTTTCCCACCTACTGGGGATGACCACATGAGCAAATCACTTAGCCAGATGTCAAGTCAAGAGTTTGGGTAAGAGGACTTCCATGGTTTCTTCAAGGTCTAATGCCTCTATGATTGCAGTCCCATGTAAGAGTAAGATTGAAATTCTTTTCTTATAAGCAAAGCTTTCTATTGTCTCAAATTCAAAAAATGAAATGTTCTCAAAATAAACAAGACCAAATATGGTCAAATAAACCATGGGGATGCTGGAAAAAATGAACACAGTTACCAAAATTAAAGACAAGTGGGGTAAGTTTTATATTCTGTAGCCACTATTGATTATCTAATAAAAGACACACCTCAACCTGTGTGAAGTCCATGCCTGAAAGAAAAACCTTAAAATGTCATTGTTTAATTTACTGTGACACACCCTGCAAAAAGACTCAAAGTAACTATGTCATTTTAGATTGTCTTCACGTCACATAACCGAACCGTAGGATCAGATATAAACACCAGTTGACTTACTTAAAAAAATGGGCCCGGCTTTGTTGCAATCGAACTTTATTTATAAAATAGCCAGTACGATACCAGCCTGGGGTCTGGCCTCCCGGGCTCCAAGGGAGGCCCGGCTAGCCCCTCAAGACACTGCCGCCCCTGCAGCTGTCCGCCGGCTGCTGTCGCGCTCACTCTGGCCCATTCGGTAACACCGACTCCTCTTCTCCCCTGCGGCTCTCCCTCCCTGCTCCCGACAACTCCCAAGTGAAACTCATTCTGTCAGACCATTCCACTCACCACCCCTCTTGCCAAGTCACCTACAGGAGCCCCAGATGATTTCTTCCCACGCCTGCTCTTACTGAGCCCGTGTGGGCTCTCCCCATTGCTTCCTGGTGGTACCTTCGTGACGTCGTCCTTCTCTCCCTCTCACACTCATGTGGCACACTGACTCGCATGACCAGCTCTCTACTTTGCAGCTGCCCTCAAGCAACTGAACAAGACAGGTGAGCAACTCCACGTCTTGGCTTAACTGCATCACGTCCTTCACTTGAGCCCCTTAGTGCAGCCCAGCAAGCCCGTGACACGCTGTCTTCTCTCTTCTACTCTTCAAGACCACCATTTCATACCTCCACCATTTCATAAACCTCCATCATCTCCTCCCTCCCTCCGAGCTTGCTACCTCATCCTTCCACAACCTTTCTTCCTCCCTCCCCCACACCAGACTTAGTGATCCATTAAAAACAAGTCAGATCCTATCACTTCGCTGCTCAAAACCCTCCCAGAGCTTTCTATTTCACTAGGGGTAAAGCTAAACCCTTTGCAGTGGCTGAAGACCTGCATCCGACCACCTTTCTGACCTCAACGCTCAGGCCTCTCTTTTACTCGCTCTGCTCCAGCCACACCTGCACGCTGACAACCCAGGGTTTTTTTTGTTTTTCTTTTTTTAAGATTTATTTATTTGACAGAGAGACAGAGGGAGAGAGCACGCGCTCACAAGCAGAGAGAGAAGCAGGCAGAGGCAGAGGGAGAAGCAGACCCTCTGCTGAGCAGGGAGCCCGATGTGGGACTTGATCCCCAGACCCTGGGATCATGACCTGAGCCGAAGGCAGACGCTTAACTGACTGAGCTACCCAGGCGCTCCAACCCAAGGCTTTTGTACTTGCCATTCCTGCCTGGAAGATTCTCCCCATAGATGGTTACGTGGCTCACCGGCTCACTCTATTCAGGTCTTTGCTCAGAATTCATCTCCTCAGAGTCCTTCCACGACCACACTACATGAAGGAGCATGCCATCTCCCCAGTCACTACCACTTTCTAGCCCCTCACCTTACCTTTTCTTCAGAGTGCTTATTACTACTGACACACTCACAGACTAAAAGTGGGGACTTGGTTTTTATTTACTACTGTTTTGTTTGTTCTAGCACCTAGACAAGTATTTGGCACCTAGAAGCAGGTCAAGAAATATTTGCTAAATAAGGAAATAATCACCTGAGACTAACTTTAAATTCTATGTATAACTAAAAAAAATCAGACAAATAAGCAAAGTACTTAGACAACATGGCTCCTTTTGAGTCTTTTAATTTTTTTTTTAAAGATTTTATTTATTTATTTGACAGAGAGAGCCACAGCGAGAGAGGGAACACAAGCAGGGGGAGTGGGAGAGGGAGAAGCCGGCTTCCCGCGGAGCAGGGAGCCCGATGTGGGGCTTGATCCCAGGACCCCGGGATCATGACATGAGCCGAAGGCAGACGCTTAATGACTGAGCCACCCAGGCGCCCCGAGTCTTTTAATTTATTTAATGTATGTGAGTCCATATTTGATTTAATTTTCACAATTTAGTCACAGATGAAAGATGTGACATTAGTATCTCTGATATACAGATAGTTCTCTGTAATACGTAATCTCATTATCTACAACAGCCAATCAAAGTTGTTGGGACAAAGCTCAGAGATTAACTCAGAATTAAATGACTCCTGGCTGAATGCACGGTATATATAATGTCCTTCACACACATATAGTGTTGGTTGAAAAAAAAAATCAATGCCAAATAACCATCAACTATTACATACTAGTTTATAAATTACTTTCTATTCTACACATTGACAACTACCAATTAAAGTTTATTTCAAGAGCTAGGATAGCTGATGAGGATGCAATGTATTTGATACATTAGGTTTTACAATCTGATTAGGAAAATAAGACATACGCAAGAAATAGTCAGAAAAATAACCCAGAATCAGAAATATGAGACAGTCCAAGAGTAGCAATGAAGGCTGATTACATATCCAAAAAGTAAGCTAAAAAGAACCCAAAAACCCCAAAGAGGCATTTCTCTCTCTATAGTACAGTAGTCCCCCCTTATCTGTGGTTTTGCTTTTTGTGGTTTCAGTTACCCATGGTCTGGAAGCAGATGATCCTCATTCTGACATCACTACATCATAAGACCTACTTAACTCACGTCACTTCATCTCATCACGTAGGTATTTCATCCTCACATCATCATAAGAGTGAGTACAGTACAATAAGACATTTTAAGAGAGACCACATTCATATAACTTTTATTCCAGTACATTGTTCTGTCCTATTTTATTGTTGTTGTTGTTAATCTCTTACTGTGCTTAATTTATGAATTAAACTTTATCATAGGTGTTCCTGTACAGGAAAAAACACGGTATACATGGGATTCAGTATTATCTGCGGTGTAGGCATCCCCTGGGGGCCTTCGAACGTATCCCCCACAGAAAAGGGTGGTGGGGAGGGAACACTATATGGCAGGTTCTTCCCATGCCCTTAGAAGCATCTCGACTCCAGGCTGCCTGTTACAGAGGAACCAGAACATTTGGCCCTGGACCTCACTGCCTCCAGCCACTGGATACAGAGGTGACCAGGCAGTACAACCATTGTGAAACAGAGCTTACCTCGAACCATTTACCTCTTGCCACCTTTTCAAGGCTGCATGTGACTTCATTAATAATTTGTTTGGGAAGACTTCTTGCTCCCTCTGGTGGCTGTCAAGATTCACAAGCTACTTTACAGGGTTTTAAAAGCATGTTAACAGTTGCATTATTGGTACTTACAGAAAGTTTTTCCACATCTCCCTTTAAAACTCGTTCTAAGTAAAGCTGTTTAAGTTCTCGTTCCAACCGTGATGGCAACCCAGGGTACATAGTAGACCCTCCAGAAAGCACGATGTGCTTATAGAATTCAGATCTAGAAGGACACAAAAGGTATTCATTTGGGGTTGCAGATGAGAAAAACAGTCTTACAGAGTTCCTTTTATATCTAGCAGCCTCAAGGGATTGCTGGGAGATTTAAATAAAATCCAACATGGAAATTGTAGGGCTGAATGTTTGTTACTAATGCTGTTATTAGATAACAAACCCTCTCTACATGCAAAATACTTACAATTTTAATGAGAATACTTCTAAAGCACATGACACACTTTCTTGCAAATATTGAGACTTTCTAAAAAATGATTTTATATTTTTTTATTGAGAGAGAGAGAGACAGCAAGCGGGGGGCGGGAGCAGAAGGAGAGGGACAAGTAGACTCTGCACTGAGCTCGGAGCCTGACGTGGGGCTCATTCTCATGACCCTGAGATCACTACCTGAGCCGAAATCAGAGGAGTCAGACACCCAACTGACTGAGCCACCCAGGCGCCCCTGTAATTGAACATTTATAAATGACCAGAGTTTACATTACAAACTTCCACTATTTGGACTGTGTCATCACAGTGCTTCCCCAGAGTTTACTACAATTAACCATTTTCTATTACGATTTCAGTTCTTGCTTTTCAATTTTTCCATTTGCCTTTTGTAGTTTTCCCTTTTGTTCCTTTGCCTTGGGACTAGCTGCTATTATTTTACATGACATTGACGTGTTTCCTGGTAACAGCAGTCCTCTCTTTCTTCCTCAAATATGCTACCGGTTATGATACCAGATAATCAAATCTAAAATAACTGCATATGTAGTAAAAGTAATATAACTAAGTGAGGGTCTGAGGAACTCTTCTCCTAGTAAAGTTCAGAAGCTGAGTCACATCTGTTTTGGCTTCATTCAAACTGGTTTCCAATGGCTCAGGCTATTATCATCCCAGCTCATGGAAGTGTGGAGTTTTTATATCTACTCGCAGAAGTATGCACATGAGTGTAGCATATGCAGCTGAGACATGGCTACATGTGGTACGTACCCACTAGCATTTACATGTACCCTTCCAACATGCAGAACACACAAAGGGTGAGCTGTGTGACTTCCCGATGCCAGCTCTGTCGTAAGGGTACTGAACCGGACTCCAGTGCTTCGGGAATGCCAAAACTTGAATCACCACCAATAGGCACACACTTTTAAATGCAATTTTACTATTAATGATCATTAAGTCAAGGGACAAAAGCATCTACCCAATCCTACTATGAGAATTTACTCCCTACTTTGAGAAGTTTAGATTCTTGATCATCTTACATTAAGTTTATAGCCTGTTGTAAGCCAACTGCTATTTTTATTACTTTCCATTATTATCCTGCTCCTCAGCCATCCCACAAAAATTAGTTTGGTGGTTATTTAATTCAGGGTTAAACAGACAAGTAAGCAAACACTTGCTTTTTACAAAATGCTTCTGAGTGAATTCCTCCATAACCTGAGTGTACAGGAGGGCTTTTCAACTATGACTCAAACTCTAGATGCAATAAAAGGTTATAAACTTATTTAATAACTAAGTAAACACAAATTTTTGTATAGTCAAAGAACGCCATAAGCAAGAGACAAATGGATAATCAGGAGAACTATCTGCAGTAGATTATCACAGAGCTATAATATAAAAAGAACTTTTAAAAAACTTGAGGGGGAAAATTACAAAAATTCTACAGAAGAAGCAAAAGCCACAAACAGATAATTCACCAGAAAAAGAGAAAAACAGCCCTAAACATAGAAAAACATGTTCAACTTCACTCTTAAGTAAAATACAAATTAAAACTACATTGAGATAATCATTTCACTCACCAGACTGGCATAAAAGTTAAAAAGTTGCCAAACTGTGACCAAGCTGTGGGGACATAGGTGCCCTCATCTATTACTGGTGGGAAGGAGAAGGGTCCCAACCTCCAGAGGGGAACTGAGCAGTAACAAAACTACATGCATTTATATACCCTTTGACCCAACAATTCCCTCTAGAAATTTTTTCAAAATATACATGCCCAAGAGTACAAAAATATAGTGTGCACAAGGTTATTAATTGCAACATTATTTGTCTGCAAAAATATTGGAATCTACCTAAATAACCAAGATTCACCTAATAAACCATGATATGTATACACTGGAAAAAAGGAGGACAATCCCTAGGAAGTGGTACAGGATTGTTCAGGATAATATTAAGTGAAAGAAGTGCAAAAAAGCATTTATACTAAGCTACCTTTTGTGTAAGAACAAGTAAGAACTACAGAAAGGATAAACCTGAAACTAATGAGATCATTTACCTACAAGGGGGAGGAGGACTAGGGTGGAGAACAAGGGGCTGGGAGAGTAATACTTCAAAGTATGCTTTTTATGTAGTTTTGAGTAGATGGTAATGTTTTACCTACAAAATTAAAGATAAGCCAGGACTATCCTGTGCCACAAAACAGAATGTGCCCAAAGAGATAACAGCATGTCAAAGGACACAGAGGTGTGTTTGAAGGGGCTCCCCTGGCCAAATCAGGAACAATTTGAGCATCAAAATAAATAAAGACAGTAATAAATTATAATCACTGGACAAAATCATGAGTCCACACTGATAACAAACAAAACAAGGAAGAGCACTTCCTTATGCTGGAATGCCAATTAATAACTATAGAAGGAATGACAGAATTAGAAAATCACCTTTTTGCAACCACAATAAAAATGGATTTAGGCAAGAATCATCAATAGATACTAAAAGGGGTGGAGGGCAGAGTTTAATGAGGAACAGGAGGTCAACACAGTCTCAAAGTATTTTCCCACAAATCACTTATAAACTAAGAAAGGAAAAATACAAAAACCAAACAGGAAACTTCATTAAGAGCTTAATCCTAACATCACCAACAAGAAACAAACAGATCTCATCTCTGGATGGGACACCATGAGAAGGACACATCACTTAAGTAGTATTCCAGCCCCAAATGCATAACCTGAATCTAATCATGAGAAAATTATTCAAACTCAAGTTGAGAAAAATTCTCTAAGATAACTGGCTTGTTCTCTAAAAAGATGTTGCTGTCATGAAAGACTAAAGAATTGTTAATAGATAAAAGCTAAGAGACATGACAACTACATACGCTGTGTGACCTCAGACTTGATAATCTCCTGGGGAAAAGAAAAACTGTATAAAGGACAGTATTGGGACAGTAGATGAAACTGAAAAATGGACGGCAGATAAGAGCAGATCAGTAATCAATCTCCTGAGCTCAATAATCGCACTGTGGCTATATAAGAGAATACCTCTGTTCTCAGGAAATACAAAGCAAATATTGAGTAAAAGAGGACTTATGTGTTCACCATGCTCTCAAATGGCTCAAGAAAAGAGAGAGGGAGAATGACAGAATAAACTTGCAAAACGTTAAACTTAGTAGAATGCAAAACTGAGTAAAGAGTATACATGAGTTCTCTGTATTATTCTTGAAATTTTTAAGTTTTGAATTATAAAAAAAAATTTAAGATGGTTTCTGAGATACAATGATATATATTCAACATCCAGTGCCACCCTCAAAAAATTCGTTTGCCTTATCTGTTCAAAACCATGAGTGAGGTAATAGACAACTTGGTCATTTTAATTATACATACTCCATCTATTGTTAAATAACTTTGAAACCATCATTTATGATGTACCTGGTATCAATGTCCGCTGCCTGGATTGTGTTAAAAAGCAATTCAGCAACACCTACTCCCTCAACATTGATCAAATGAGGCTGAAATAAAGCTTCTGGTGCTTCAAATCTCTCTCCCCCAACTTTGATAATGCGGCCATCTGGGAGCTAGGAACCAAGAATAACCAGGTATTAGTCAGCAAAACATTAAAAAAAATTCCCAGTGTTCTCTAGAACACTGGTACTTTAAACACATCTGTTCAATAATCAAAATCATCATCAGCAACACGTTTCTCCTAAAATAAATTTTTGAAAAGGAAAAAAAAAGTAAAATACGTTTAGATAGTTGTTATTATCATGCTGTTTTGTTTTTAAACGCAGAACATGCCATCATGCCATGCTCCAACACATCAGGAATTTCTTGGAAAAATCACCAATGCATGAGTGCGTTATGTTCCATCGCTATGTGCAGCTAAGCATAAAAAGGAAGCATTAATAAACCACTGCATTTGGATTACTGCTGGTGTCAATGCTGCTTCTCTATTTTAACACATTTGTGATTTATTTTATGGATATTTTTACCATGTAGCATAGACACATTCAGTTAAAATTTTTAAATAATTTCTTTTACCAAATAATTACACTGTGAAACTTTGCTATTTTGCCATCAAAACACTTTATATCATGTGTAAAACTTCTGTCAAATCATTTAATCCAAAAAATGTTTTATGATCAAAAAAGTTTAAGAAACACTGATCTATCAAAAACTAATGATGTAATGTATGGTGATTAACATAACAATAACAAAATTTTTAAAAAAAGAAACATGGATCTAAATTACTTTTTTTTAAGACTACTTTTTATTAAGCAATTCTATTGTATCCTACTTACTAGACCCTATTAAAATTTTTTTTTAAAGATTTTAAGTAATCTCTATACCCAAAGTGGGGCTCGAACTCACAACCCATCACAAGACCAAGAGTCACATGCTCTACAGACTGAGCCAGCCAGGCTCCCCTCTAGACCCTAATGAATTTTAAATAATGGATAAATAAAATTTTAACTTAAGATTTTTTTTTTTTAAGACAGAGAGAAAGAGAGAGACCCATGCACACACACGTGGGGGAGGGGGGGTGGGGAGAGGGAGAGGGAGAGAATCTTGACCAAGCCTCCATGCCCAGCACGCAGCCCAACACAGGGCTTGATGCGTGGCTCAATCTCACGGCCATGAGATCATGACCCGAGCTGAAATCAAGAGTCGAATGCTTAACCTACTGAGCCACTTTTCTTCATGCAGAAAACTCTTAAGTTACATCATGTTTATATTTAATTAAATGAGAAATGTTAAGTAAAAACTCCCTCTACTTATTTTTTAATTTTAATTTTTTGAAGTAGGCTCTATGCCCAACATGGGGTTTGAACTCATGACCCCGAGATTAAGAGTTGGATGCTCCACCGACTGAGCCAGCTAGGCGCCCCCCAAAACACTCCCCCCCCCTTTTTTTTTTTTTTTTTACAGATTTCCTTTATTTGAGAGAAGGAGAGAGAGAGAGTGCGCATACGAGCGGGAGGGAGGGGCAGAGGGAGAGGGAGAAATGGACGCCCCGCTGAGCTGGGAGCCCAACTTGGGGCTTGATCCTAGGACCCTGAGATAATGACCTGAGCTGAAGGCAGATGCTTAACTGAGCCACCCAGATGCCCCACCCTCTCTTACAACCACCTCACAACTCATTGGACTGACCTAAATTATAAGCATGCTTGTGTATATAAAAAAAAAAAAAAAAAAGCATGCTTGTGTATGCTGGCATTTGACCCATTTCCATAGGAGATACCAGAATTAGTTTCACATTAACATTTCTAACAGTATATTTATAATAATATGATTACTGTAATAGTATTTGGATTCCAAAAAGTGACTTTCCAGTATGACAAAGTACCACAAAGCAAGTTTTTTTTTAAAACATTTACTCCATGTTTACAGATAGGAGCAAAGGCAAGCACATTTTTCAAATTGATACAATTTGTAAATTGTATCAAATTAAAAACAAACAAAAAACCCCCAAGGATACAGATTCAAACATTTACCCTTAAAAAAATAAAAACCCATCAGGTGAGTTTAAAACCACATGAAATCACCCAAAATATCTGGAAAAACTTTACACAGTACACAGTTATTGGCAAAACCTCTGCAGCTCATACTTCAGCCTCTCTGACGGTGTGGTTTCTTTCCACACTCTGGCTGCTGGTTAGCATGGGGCCACCCAGCCTAGGAGCTACCCACCTCTAGACCCTACCTGGTTATGACTGTAGGACTCTCATTTTTTTGTACCAAATCTCATCCTATCCTTTGTCGGCCCTTATCCCTCTTCATTTACTCATTAGTTTCATCAGTCTACTGTTTTTTATTTGTTGTGCAGCTGACCCTATAACAACGTGGGTTTAAACTGCACAGGTCCATCGACACATGGATTTTTTTCAATAAATATAGTACAGTACTGTAAATGTATTTTCTCCTCCTTATGATTTTCTTAGTAACATTTTCTTTTCTTCCTACCTTTGTTGTAAGAACATGGTATATAATATATATAATACATATAACATACAAAATATCTGTCAGTCAACTGTTTATGTTACTGGCAAGGCAATGACAGTAGGCTATTAGTAGTTAAGTTTTGAGGGAGTCAAAAGTTATGCACTGCATAGGGGGTCAGCGCCCCAAGGGTCATCTGTATATATTTTTGTAACCCACCTCAAATTCTTTGAGAAAGGAGGGGAGAAATTAAATAAAACATGTCTTATATTTCTAGTTCCCTCATCTTTTGTCTCATGCCATTTTCTTACAAATAAGTCAGGTAGATGAAAAACTACAAATCTAGAGGAACTATCAAAAAAGCTTCAGAAAAGAATCCCCAGGGCAAATCTGGAGATTAAGTTGCTTGTCAATTATTTGGATCAGTACTGCTTAAAAATAAAACAATATAATTTATAAAAATGAACAATTTTTTTTTTTAAAGATTTTATTTATTTGACAGACACAGCGAGAGAGGGAACACAAGCAGGGGGAGTGGGACAGGGAGAAGCAGGCTTCCCGCCGAGCAGGGAGCCCGATGTGGAGCTCAATCCCAGGACCCTGGGATCATGACCTGAGTTGAAGGCAGACGCTTAATGACTGAGCCACCAGGTGCCCCAATAATTATTTTTAAATTGACTAATTCAGGGGCGCCTGGGTGGCTCAGTC